TAAAAAAAAAAAAAAGAAACTAGGTCTTCTACCTTTTGATCTCCAGCAGCTAGCACAGTACTTGGCTCATAAAGCAGTTCTCAAAAGTGTTCAAGGCCACAGAAGCCTGCTGACTTGTGAGGAGGGGCTTGGGATCAAGGTAAGGACCCCATTCTAGTGAAACGGGTGTGTGTGTGGAATGACCCCAATCTCAATGTGAGAAGACACCCTGCGGCAGAAGCTGTTTGAGGGGGCCTGCTCTTTATCTAACATTTACAAGCCTTCCAACCTTCCAATCCAGGTATCTGGGGGGTGTGAACGCTGAAGGCTATGTGGTCCCACACGCTACCTGGCCCACAGAGTTCAGCAAAGTACGATAGCCACAAATCTCCACAAACTTTCAGTGTAGCTTTTAAACTCAGTCTTAAATGGTCTGGGTTGCTAGAAACATTATAAAATGCCATCTTAACTTTTTTCTCACAGTTGACATTTCTTTCAACCAACAACAGAACTTCTAAGATTTCTCAACAAAGTCATCTATGGTGGAACAGAAGGAATGAAACCTTCCCTCTCTCATGTACTGTCTGGGGAAGCTCAGACTGGCTATGTACCAAGTAGAAACTAGCAAGCACTGTAGAGCTAATGTCTACTGAACCCATGAGTGTGTAATTTCTTTCCTCCTTTTTAAAAAGATTTATTTGAGACAGACAGAGAGAGAGAGAGTGGGGGGGGGGAGCAGAGGGAGAAAGGGAGGGAGACTCAAGCAGACTTCCCACTGAGCTCAGAGCTGATGCAGGGCTCAATCTCATAACCCATGAAATCATGACATGAACCGAAATCACGAGTCAGACACTTAACCAACTGAGCCACCCAGGTGCCCCCTAAGTGTGTAATTTCTAAGAACAGAAGAGTACCCTGGGGAAAAAAAACACCATAGGAGTTCATAGTGTGAACAAATGGAAAGGAATATAGGAACCATTAGGAACAGACCCTGAACAAATATCAAAACTAAGGAATCTTTGAGCTTGTGTGTTGTCACAAGATTTGAAATAAGAATGCAGTGGATACAATAAATATTTATTAGATAAAAAACTGACAGTTTTTAAGTACCTTTACACAGATTCTATCAGTATACCGCTAATTTCTTTGAAGTTTAACATTACATGGGGACTTCAGAACTACCTATCAGTCTTTGGCTCCATTTAACAGAGGAAAGACCACAGCTGGTCATCTGATTTCTCTCAGCCTCAGTTTTGTCTTCGGGAAAAGGGGCCTAAAGTTATTTCCTCTTCCAACCTCCAGGATTGTTATGAAGACCAAAAGTAATCACGTAAAACAATTACTCAACTGTGCACGTTTATAAACTATTTTCCGCACTCACCCAAACCCAGATTTTTTTTAAGATCTTATTTATTTGACAGAGAGAGAAAGAGAGAGACGAACACAAGCAGGGGGAGTGGGAGAGGGAGAATTAGGCTTCCTGATGAGCAGGGAACCCGATGTGGGGCTCGATCCCAGGACCCTAGGATCAAACCCGAGCCGAAGGCAGACGCTTAACGACTGAGCCACCCAATGCCCCCCCAAACCCAAATATTTTAAGAACCTACATAAAATATCCTCCGTTAGGCTTATGTATGATGATATGTATACGTATTCATAATACATTACGTGTACGTATTCATGCGTATGCTTATTCATATTCACATATACACTTAAATCTGGAAACAGTCCCGATCTACAAAGAACGTCTCCCTTTATTAGCTGAGACAATCCACAGTAGGCATACTCTTCCCACCAACACACACAAAGCACAAGAGATTTTTCAATTAAAAGCAGACATACTGTTTTGCCATCTAAACTGGTTTCATTTTTGGAGGCAGAGCAAAGGGTGATGGAAAGGTGGGAAGTTTAAGGAGGGCTGGTGAGTGGTAGAGACAGGCAGATGCATATAGAAAATCTGAAAAAGGCGAGCAGAGGATGAAGACCGAAACTAAGATTCCGGAAAGGCAGCTGCCTAGCTCCCAATTTCACCATCCTGTACCAACCTTTCTCTTATTTGATGTCCTGTGATCAGTTCCTCTTCTGACACAAACTGGAGAAAAGGAATCCTTTCTGCTTTTTTGGAGGTTACTGATCTAAATTACAGGTCTGCATCAAGGATGTGTGGAGCAAGGGTGACCATCGATTTATGCACTTGGGGAAGTTCAAGGCAATATGGTCTACTTCTGGGAAGACCTGGATTCTATTTACTCCTGAAGGAGAAAAACCCAGCCTTGGCAGTGCCCAGATGGACTAGAGAAGGCAGATGGGCACTGGGTTCAGGAGAAAGAACTGAAAAGACCAGTTCTTTTCAGTTGTTGTCTGACTCTCCTTTACTGCCCCTCTGAAAATTGACAGAGTACGGGGCTTTGGCAGGAAGAGCAGGTGGCCTTGGCTTGGCCCTCTGACTAACCAGAGCTGTGGACAAAGGGCCTGACAGGTTGACTGAGAGTCAGTGATTGGCAGCTGGGAGCCTGGAGTCTCCCGAAACCTGCTCCAGACTTTGATGATGACCCATCAGTTAAAGCTCTCCCAACTCGCCTTCCATCGCCCGCACCATGACATACAGCTCGGCCAGGCCCACCACAGAGGCCACGATCAAGGCAGCCAGTACCCGCTGGGGAGAGAGAGAACCAGGCTTAGGGGATGCAGGCCAGCATCCAGATCTGCAGCCTCTGGCACCTCTAGTAAATATGGAGGGGGGGGGCGTGCGGGGACCCGTAAGTTGGGGGGAAAGGAAGAAAATAGGATCTGGATTCTCTTGAAGTTATTATATACTCCCATGACTGCTGGACAGCTCAAATGCTCCTCTTGTTTACTACATAAATTTACTACTTGCTTAACACCTAACTTGTTCAAGGCACCTTCACATACGTCCTCTCTCTCCCACCAACACTCCCACCCGGAGCACCCTGCCCTGCCCAGTGCCTATACTTACTGAGGCCATTTCCGTGAAGATGTATTGGCTTCCAAGGTAAGTGCAGACGAAGGCAGCTGCCACCGTGACAATAAAGTTGAAGATGGTGATGACGAGAGCTTTCACTGACCTCACTTTGGGGAAGAACCCAGGAAAGAAACCTTTAAGTCAGCATCCTCCACAAGGCCCTCTTATCTCAGGGCTGCCTCCCCCATCAACTGGGTTTCCTTCAAACAGCAAGCCTGAATAGCTCAGGCTTAAACCCAGAGCACTGGGGTGGGAAGAAGTGCCATGACCAACCCCTCCCAGGGAGAGGCTTTAGCAATGTGATTTCCCAGTACCTCACCTTGCTTTCCTAGGTCACTAAGAGTCCCACCATGCCTTGAATCCTGGGAAAAAGAAAACACAAATGATTCCAAATGGCAGCAGCTCAGAGGCAGCCCAGAGAGTATCCACTTGTCAGTCTGGGCTCTGCTCTCTTTATTTCCCAACACATTAACTCTGCCTTCTCCATGGATTCTGTTGTCGGGGACCAGCTGGATTTTTTTCTGAACCACAGATCCAGCATTTCAGAGAAAGGACATAGGTTCCCAGTACCCATCTACTCCTCTCTTGCTCCAGGGTGGGAGCATGTCACAGAACAATAGGGAGCCCTGTCAGAAGAAAGGCTCCAAGGCTTATCTCCATCTCTATGACTTTTAAGAATCAGTCACCATCTGAGCCCAGAGTCTCAGTAAAGGAGTTGGGAATTATATTAGGTTTGTATGCAGCAGAGCTTCTATGGTCCCTGACTCATATAAAAACCAAGCTTCCACGATGTTTTTTCCCTCTGTACCTCTTCCCAGCACAGGGCTCTGCTTTCAGGAGTTACTCAGGCCTTGTACTGAAGAGCAGGCCCTTACCTTACAGGTGACATTGTATGTGATCCGTTTATATTCCTCATTGGCCAGCTGTATCTTAATCTTCTCCAAACGGGCCACTAGCTCTGGGTTCTGAGGCAGAAAAATCAAATGAGAAGGGTATTCCCGGCTTGCTAGGAAGCCATGTCACAATCATTGGTTCATTGGTTTCAGGGGACAAAGCACTGCTAAAGGGTGCCAAGAGACCCATGCATTCATTAGTTCTGCCTCCACTGCTTTGGAAACTTTTTGGGGGGGATCTGTTTTCCAAGCTGTCAAGCAAGGAGGACAGTATCTGGTTCCCCCACTCCAGCTCTCAAGGATTTAAAAGACAAATTTTTGAGCCCAAAGGTCGATTCATAAATCTGAATGTATCGTGAGTAAGTCCAATTCAGCCAACACCCACTCTCAGAAATATATCCCTTACATACCCGGGGAGGCTTCACAACCTCTGGGAGATAGATTTCACTGCCTTCTAGGAGCTCATGAAGGTATAGTGTGGAACCTGGGAAGAAAAGATTTTTACAAACATAATGATGCATAGGACTAAGGTTGAAGGATTAAGATCAAAAAAGGGTCTGACCCTTCTATTTTTTCTACCAAAATAAAACATGCCCATCCCTATTTTAATTCATCTCCAAGATCATTTTCAACTGAGAAGAATTGAGGACAATTCCACAAAAATATCTCCTAGTGCACCCAGCTGACTGTCAGCTCTCAATTATCTTGCCAATGTCACAGCTAACAAGTAAGCCACTTACATTTGCATTTAGATTAAGTCACACTGTGGCCACAATACAAATGCCCTAAATAGGTTTAAGTCACAGTGATGCTAAATACTCAGAGAACAGTGTACTAGATGATCTCTAAGATACTTTTTACTTCCAATAGTTCTAGTAGTTGTGCAGTATACAAAGGGTACCCTACTTCTGGGTAGGCTATGTTAATTCTGACAAAAGACCTTACAAACCAGTTTGTCCTAGTCCCTCCCTTTACAGTTAAGGGAACTGAGACCCAAGGATGAGAAACGACTTCTCCAAGGGGAGTTTGTGGCAGAGCTATGACTAAAACTCAGATGCTACTCCCAGTTCAGGTCTTTCAACACACCTTTCCATCATCCTATGTGGAAAAAAAAAAGAAACTATCAGATTTGACTTCCTTTTTTTTTTTTAAGTTTTTTTTTTTTTAAAGATTTTATTTATTTATTTTTGACAGAGAGATAGAGAGCACAAGTAGGCAGAGAGGCAGGCAGAGAGAGAGGGAGAAGCAGGCTCCCTGCTCAGCCCCACCCTGACGTGGGGCTCGATCCCAGGACCCTGGGATCATGACTTGAGAGGAAGGCAGCCACTTAACCGACCGAGCCACCCAGGCGCCCCAGATTTAACTTGCTTTTGAGATGCAAAGAAATCCAGATTCCCAAACAGGACAAGCTCACTATCCTAAGTTGTTTTCTAATGTGGCTTAAAAGGAAAAAACTGAACTTGTGCGGCGTTACTGGGTTAGAACTGGACTTCCTCAAAGGTCAGGCGGCCCTAAGGCGGCCTGGTAGTGAAGAGGAGACTCTCAAGAGAACAGAAACGGCACAGGTAAATTTTGTCACCCACGAGAAATCCCCATGGAAGCTGTTGGAGTGGGTTGTCCTACGGTTTATGAGGTGACTCTTGGGTTGGCTAGATGACCGTTCCGCGGGTGGAGGAGAGTGATGGATTTTTTTTCCCCCCTCACAACGATGCTAGAGGTGGGAAAAGATTAAGGAGGGAAAAGACTCTGGAAAAAGAGAGGCGAGTCCGGGCTGGAGACTGCGGCTCACCCCTCTCTCTCAGGTACTGATGCAGCTCTCGGATCAGGCGGAAGGAAACGAGGCGCGCGGAGCCACTGGAAAGATCACCGTCCTTGTGCTTCTTCCCCAGCGCGGCTTCAAGTTCTGCCCGCAGCTTCCGGGGAAGCTGCTCTGGCTCCAGCTCCCCACCGGGTCCCAAAGCGCGAACCAAACGCTCGCCCGCCAGCAAACAAGACGCCATCTCTAGCGGACCTACGGTCAGGTGACCGGGGGCCGGGACTTCCGCCCATCGCGCGCCGGAAGGAGCATGGAGTTCACGGGGTGGGATGAGGCGGGGCAGAGGGCCAAGGGGGCGGGGAAGCAGCGCGGGGCAGTGTGGGGCGGGAGCAGAACGCCTCCGGCGGCGGGTTGGGCCCTGTGTCAACAGCCGAGCGGGCGCTCCGGCGGGATATGGCGGGCTGTGTGGCCCGGCGGGCCCTGGCCGTGGGCAGCCGCTGGTGGTCCCGCTCGCTAACCGGGGTCCGGGGGCCGAGGCCGCTCTGTGCGTCGGGTGGAGCTGGGGCCTTCCCACCAGAGGCGACCACGACGACGCGGAGGCACCTCTCGTCCCGGTGAGGGACGGAGCGCGGGGCCCGTACGTGGAGCCCAGGGAGTGTGTTCCGTCCACGGAGGAGGCCGGGCCGGCCGAGGGTGATTGGAGTTCGACCCGGGAGAGGGTTCCGGCCGGGAGCCAACCTGCCCTGCTTGGGATGTGTGCCAGGAACAGAAGGGAGCGCGGCCCAGAGCCCTGGGTTACGCAGGACTGGCTCTGAGGGGGAGCTAGTAACCCTCCCGGAGCGAATCCTCCCTCCCCAAATGGGGATCTCGAGCGCTGTTGTTAGTGGGCAGCCTTTTAATTAAGCCCTAGGGCTCTTGACTTGAACCCCCAGCCCCGGATTGGGACAAAGCCACCCTCAGAAAGATGCTCGAAGTGGGAAACTGGACTCGCGAATGAGCCCTGCGTGGGTTCCGGGTTTCAGCGTGACCTTGGGGAGATTGGTTCTTTCTGTGTGACTTGGGGAGGGGGCTTGAGGCCATGGGGAATGGTGTAAGCATTGTCTTTAGCGATGGGACAGGCAGGTCAAATTGGGGTTGGAGGATCAAGTGAGAGGAAGGAAGCATAAGGTTCACATCTCCAAAATGCTAAGAATAGCAGACCTTGGAAGGACCCCTAGAAAGAGCAGCCCTGTCCAGAGAGACCACTGAGAGAACTGACCTTTTGGTGGCTGAGATTAGACACTGGTATTGGGGAGAGATGATAAGTATTTGCAGTGTAAGATCCCTGTGAAATGTGACGTGAGTCTGAACAAAAACTAGATTGAGAGACTACTAGGTGCAATGCAGGGAGTGCACTAGGATGTTTGGAGAGGATTGCTAAGCAGTTCAAGGGCAGGGTGAAGGCTGCAGTTTCCAGGGGTAGACATAGATGGAGTTATACAAAACAAATATTTCACACACAGTGGCTCTGAGGGGGAACACGGCTAATCAGACACAGGCATTGCTCCCAGGGAACCTACAGTCTCTAGTGGAGATAAGACATGGGCACAAATAACAGAAATGCAAGGTGGGAAGGGCGGTTAAAATGCTGTGGGTCAGGGAGGAAATAGAGGCAAGGGGTATAAATAAGCAGGGTGCAAGGGCATGATATGAGGAATGCTGAGAGTGAAGAGAGAAGAAAGTGATCGGGGAGCAGTCAGACCTAACACAGAAACTGAGGTAGGGCCTGTGGCTGGACCTCAAAGGGGGAAAGGCAGAATCTGGAGTGGTGGTTTGTGAGGACCCTTACCTGTTTCACCTGCCACACTGCTTTGGCCCTTCGCTGCTCTCACTGCCTGGCCCCTCAGTCTCCTAGTAGCTTTTTCTGATGGGATAGGTACCATTACCTTCTCAGCTTTTCAGCTGCTTGTTCTTTTCCTTCCTAATCAGAAACCGACCAGAGGGCAAAGTTTTGGAGACGGTTGGTGTATTTGAGGTGCCAAAACAGAACGGAAAATATGAGACCGGGCAGGTGAGTGCTGGGCTGGGTCATCTGTCATTTTCTTTTCTTTCTTTCTTTTTTAAAGATTTTTCCATTTATTTGACAGAGAGAGATAGTGAGAGCAGGAACACAGGGGGAGTGGGAGAGGGAGAAGCAGGCCTCCGCCGAGCAGGGAGCCTGATGCAGGGCTCGATCCCAGGACCCTGGGATCATGACCCGAGCCGAAGGCAGACACTTAGCAACTGAGCCACCCAGGTGCCCCTCATCTGTCATTTTCAGGGTGCGCCCTGCTTCTGAAAGGGTCAGTTTTGGTCATAGGCCTGAATGTTACGGTTTTCTGCCTTGATGTTTAGTGCCAGACCAGAATTACAAATTTTTTAAGATGGAGTTTCTGTTTTCCTGGATGTGAATCCTTTTCATGTGTTAGTGGGTACCCTTTCCAAGTAAGTGTGGACAGAGATGATTTTTTTTAAAGATTTTGTTTATTTGAGAGAGAGCGGGTGAGCACATGAGCAGGGGGGAGGGGCAGGGGGAGAGGGAGAAGCAGACTCCCCGCTGAGCAGGGAGCCAAATGCGGGACTCCATCCCAGGATCCTGGGATCATGATCTGAGCCGAAGGCAGACGCCTAACCGACTAAGCCACTCAGGCGCCCAGGACAGATAATTTGAACCAAAGTGAGGAGAGGGCCAGGTTGTTGAAGAATCCTGTAATTTAGTGGAAGGTGGGAAGCCAGTGGGGGGAGCTTTCAGAAAAGCACACCTTTGGGGACGCCTGGGAGGCTCAGAAGTTTTAGCGGTTGACTCTTGGTTTGGGCTCAGGTCATGATCTCAGGGTCCTGGGATTGAGCCCCGCATCTGGCTCTGTGCTGGGTGTGGAGCCTGCTTAAGATTCTCTTTCTCCCTCTCCCTTTCCTTCTCCCCTTCCTCCCTCTCTAAAGAAAAAAAAAAGAGAGAGAAAAAAAAGGAAAGCAAACCTTTAATACTTTGTCATAGTTGAACTGATTGCAGTGTAACATACGCTGTGGGTGTGAGGCTCTTGTTTTTGTATCAACTTTGTGCCAGATCCACTGAGATTTAGGGCCCTTGTAAGTAAGGACTTTTTGTTTATTCAGCTTCCCACTCTCCTTTTCTTGTATGCCTACAGCGGACCGGGTGTTGGGCGTTGGACTTGAACCAGAAAGTAGTGCCTTCGTAGAGTTGGCAGTCTAGAAAGGAATTACGGGGCGCCTGGGTGGCTCAGTTGGTTAGGCGACTGCCTTC